TTTCTTACGTCATCACCGAGAATGGATTTGTTTGAATTAAGAAGCTTAGGGACTATTTTAGCTTTTAACTCATACAGTCTATTTTCTAAGGTTTGGGAGACCAGTTTCAATTATAACATTATTTATGGGCGTCGTCCGAAAAGCATAACAACTTGCTCTAACGGCTTGGTGATAGACCGGTTTAAGGATGTTGATATTAGATTTGCAGCTATTGCCATAAATTATCAAAGCATAGTCAATCTTGCTTAACACAAGCATTTTCGTAAGATAAGCAATAGTGTTAATATGCGTATGGCTTCTCCAAGCAACGTACTGTATGAAATTTACCCTTGTTAAAAGGGAGTTTTTTAACCGAAGACAGTGTGCTTTCCAACGATAATTGTTGGAAAACGAGAGCCCGAGAACATGGAGCGTCTGCACATTTAGTACTGGTAAGTCGTTAATATGCATCAGTAGGTTTCCCGCATCGCACATTTGTTTTCGACAAATGTGCAATTTTTTTTGATTTTTGTATAGAAATTTTAGCTCCTGACAAGTTTGCCCATGTGGAGATCTCACATGCAATAGATTCGAGGATGTTGATTGCTTTCGTGTTGTCTTTTTCTTTTGTAAAAAGATATACATCGTCCGCGTAGAGACAATGTTCCACTCTTGGTACACGGCAAAGAATTTTGCTAATTTCGTTGAAAGCGATCTGGAAAAGCGTGACAGAGAGAGGAGATCCTTGCGGAATGCCATTCATTAGCGGAAAGGAATCAGAAAGATGATTGTTGATTCCAACTTTGAACCGCCGATGCGACATGAATGATTTGATGTAGTTGAAGAATTTGCGTCCAACATTCGATGATTTCAAGAGTCTTAAGATAACATGAAGACCAAGTCTGTCAAATGCTTTTTCGAAATCAATTGAGAGAATTGTTACGTGATTTCGTTCGGAAATTGCTTTGCTTGTGAAATAATCAATATGTAACAGAGCGTCGATGCATCCTCTACCCCGCTTGAAACCAACTTGTTGCTTTGTTATCAGGTTCTTGGATTCAAGAAACCAAGATAATCTAGATGCCATAATCTTCTCTAAAACCTTAGAGAGGCAAGATAAAAGAGAAATTGGGCGATAATCAGATGCGATGGAGACATCTTTTGACTTTGGAATTGGAACAACTGTTGCCAGTTTCCACATGTAGGGTATATGGCCAGTCATAAATACCGTATTATATAGGTCCAGTAATTTCTTTTTACTAGACTTAGACATAGCACTGATCATTTGGTATGAGATGCGGTCTAGACCAGGTGTCTTCCCCTTCAAATTGGAGAGGCAACTTCCAAGTTCTGAGGTAGATACGCAATTTTCCAGGAACATGGCACATGTATC